CGGGGAGGCAGGAGAATCAGGAGTTCAAGGCTAGCCAGTTACACAAGACAATGTTTTAAAAAACAAACAAACAACAACAACAACAAAAAACAACCACAATCTGACAATGGTGGTGCACACCTTTAATCCCAGCACTCAGAAGGCAGAAGCAGGCAGACCTCTGGGTTTGAGGACAACCTGGTCTTCAGAATGAATTCCAGGACAGCCAGAGCTCAAAAGAAATTCCTGAATGTCTCTAATCTGAGGACTTGGATTCCCTCCCTCCCTCCCTCTCTCTCTCTCTCTCTCTCTCTCTCTCTCTCTGTGTGTGTGTGTGTGTATGTGTGTGTTTCAAGACGAGGTTTCTGTGAAGCCTTGGCTGTCCTGGAACTGGCTTTGTAGATCAGGCTGGCCTTAAACTCATAGAAATCTGCCTGCTTTTGTTTCCCAAGTGTTTGGAATAAAGGTGCTCACCACCACACCTGGCTTGACAGACAAATAAATATCGTTTAAAAAAAAAAGAATTATAGGCTGGGCAGTAGTGGTACACACCTTTAATCCCAACATTCAGGAGGCCGAGGCAGGATGATCTCTGAGTATGAGGCCAACTTGGTCTACAGAGTGAGTTCCAGGATAGCCAGAACTATATAGAGAAACTCTGTATTGAAAAACCAAAATTATGTATTTATGTATTTTGTGTATATGAGTGCTCTGTCTGCATGCAGACCCAAGAGGGGATCTGATCCCATTATAGATGGTTGTGAGCCACTCAGGATGTCTGGAAGAGCTGCCAATACTCTTAACTGATAAACCGTCACTCTGGCCTCCCATCAACTTTTTTTTGGGGGGGGGTTCGAGACAGGGTTTCTCTGTGGCTTTGGAGGCTGTCTTGGAACTAGCTCTTAGAACTCACAGAGGTCTGCCTGCCTCTGCCTCCCGATTGCTGGGATTAAAGGTATGTGCCACTACCTCCTGACCTCAATCTTTTTTTTAAAATTACATTTATTTACTTATTTATTGTGTATATGCACCCACACTTGTTTACCTCATGGCACCTGTGTGGAAGTCAGAAGGCAGAGGACTACTTTCAAGAGTCAGTACTTTAGCACAGTGTGGGTCCTGGGAACTAAACTCAGGTCTTCAGGCTTGGCAGCAGGTGCCCTTACCCACTGAGCTATCTCACCAGCTCCTCCCAACCCCAATCTACCTTCTAATAAGCCCTCCCAGGCAATTCTGGCATGTTCTAAAGTTTTAGGAATATTTTCATGTCTACTGGTCTCTGTTATTTTTCCTTCAGAATTTTTCTATCTTGTGTCTTATTGTTCATTGGATTTGTGCCCTATTTGCTACCTTTTGGAAGTCTACAGGCTTAATCATGGGATTTTCTAGTTCTTTCTCACCAATGCATCCCTAGAATATTGCACAGTGCATAGTATCTAATATTTTTAGATAAACAAACAGATGAGTGAATGAGCAAAAATAAAATGAATGAACAAACTAGGAGAGGAAAAAGGACTGGTTAGAAAGGGTCATGACTCCTGACTTCTGGCACCTCTGGGGACTTCTGCCTCTTGGCCCACAGTGGTAAATGAGTGTGCCAGTCATACCCTGGGCAGCTCAGCTGAAGGGGATAGAGACTCCTAGGCCTGAAAAGTCCAGCCTGGGATCCTGCCAGGGGAACTGTGCTAAGAAAGAGGAGAACAGCTAGAGATATTTATCTGGTCCTGTCCACAGAGAGCCCAGTCCCATAGGGCCTCACTCCCCTCCTGGCATTCAAGGTCCTGTCTTGCTCACAAGCTCTTCCTCGCCTCACATCTGTCACTGTAGTGTAAGCACTTGGCCCATCATGCTTTTCTTGTCTGACTTTTGTGGGGGAGAGGGACAACCCCCCACAAGCTACTCCTGCTGCAGTGTCTCTAAGTTTATTTTTAAGATTTTATTTATTTATTATGTATACAACATTCTGCTTCCATGTATATCTACACACCAGAAGAAGGCACCAGTTCTCATAACGGATGGTTGTGAGCCACCATGTGGTTTCTGGGAATTGAACTCAGGACCTCTGGAAGAGTAGTCAGTGCTCTTAACCTCTGAGCCATCTCCCCAGGCCTCAGTGTCTCTAAGTTTGACCAGGCTGCAATCCTGAAAGGTGAACACTGAGTTTCACCTCTCAGGTCCCCTGCAAGACCTAACCAGGCTAGATACAGAACTGGGGTGCAATGGTATAGTGTCAGGAAGCCATACACAATCATTCTCCTCTAAGGACCCAGCTCCGAGGTACACTGCCTGACTCTCTGTCCTCCTATTGGTCCCCTGTACCTTTTCCTGAACATACGCTGTTGTGTCTTCAGACCCTTCCCTTCATACCCTGAAGCCTGGGCACTGACTCTCCACAGTCCAGCACCAAGCCGGTCACACAACTGATTGGTTAATGGAAGACCTCCTCCATCCTGCTCCACTCCCTAAGGTGCATGCAAATGGGTCAGGAGGAAGACAGAGACCAAGGGATTGGGGGGGGGCTGACTCAGCACTCTGCCTTGTGAATTCCTAGGGCTAACACATATCTTTTCCTTAACAATGGTTCCATCCCTCACCTCTGATCCTTCTATAGCTCCGAAGCCTTGAAATTTTGGCTGGAGGAGAGGCAAGGGTAAATGAAAGATGATTCCCTTCCCATCTCTTGAATTCCCCTAGCTATATTGTCTCTAATCAATCCTCATCCTAATCGGTCCTCGCTATCCTCAGAAATCCCCATCCAAGCCATTCTTGAGCCCCACACCCACCTTCAATGGGGGAGTTGATGAGGATGACTCGGCCCATGGGTGATGAGGCTCGGATTCCACGGGGAGGGCCATTGAGCAGGCGCTGCTGCTTCCTCAGCAAGTATCGTGTTGCTGTGGAGCCTGAGTCGCTGCCCAGATGGCCTCGGGAGGAGAGGGAGCTCAGAGAACTAGAGCTGAGTTCTCCTAGACCCGATGGGTCAAAGCCCACTGTGAAACCTCGTGCCATGGTGGCGAGGCTGGGGCATTGCCTTACAGGTCCAGAGGGAGTCTGCTTGTCCTCCAAAAGTTGGCTGTTGGTGTTCTAGGCTCCATGAACGTGCTCCGTTAGGGCTGGAGTCTCAGCGAGGCAGAAGCCCTCACTCTCAATGCTTACAAGTGTGGGTTCCAAATCTGTATAGGAAGAGCAGGGTTGGGAGAGGATTGAGTGCCGTGCTATCGCTCCAGTACTCCGCACGTCCCGTGCCTTGAGCATCCTGCCTTCTCGTCTCTTGGGCCCCTCACCTCTCCCACCCTGAGGCCAGAGGAAATCTGCCCAGTTCAGAACCATCTTGGATTTTGGGAGCTTTTTCTACATGGCCATTGAGGAGCTCTCTTTCACCCCTCATTGCTGCTCTCAACTGAGTCATCCACCCGGTCTCCAGTCCTCAACTGACGTTCAGAGAGTGGAGATGGGATTGCAGCAGGCTCTTGAACTTTAAAAGGATGGAGAAAAATGGGTGTCAGGACAGTTTAGTGCAGCATCTTTCCTGTGTGTGTATATATGGGTAGGGGCTAGCCTCCAGAGCTAGACTTCAGGACCTGGGACAGCTGCAGCCGAGCTTGCCCCCACCGCCACCCCCAAGTGACCGCTAGGCTCCAGGCTGCAGCTGTGGAGATAAAGCTGCGAGACTCTGTCCCATGATTGGTGATCTGCTAGTGCAAAACCAGGGCCCGCGCCCTCCAGGGCATCTCTGTGACCCCCCCAAAACAGAGTCCTCACTGTAGGCCCTCCTGCCCCTCTACCTCTAGGACTCGGCCCACTCACCTGGTCGCTTGTGCAGACGCCCGCGCGGGACACTGAACCAGCTCGGTGCGGCTGCGGGAATGAGGCTGGCCTGCACGGTCCTGGGATTCCATTGGCTGCCGACGCCGCCAGTCATTCTTTTCTGGCATCTTTGGTAGCCGCTCGTCACCTGCCTGGTACCTCTGGGCTCTGCCCCCCTAATTCTGAACCCCACAGGTCTTTGGAATTTAGGGTTGCCCTGGAGCCTCGCATTGGCGACTAGAATCACATCTTCTCCAGGCCCCCCTAGCTTCCTGGGCTCGTGAAGTTGCCACCTCTTTCGTGGTCACTCCTGAGGTCTCTGTGGGAGAATGTCACAAGCAAAAGAGCCGAACGTGAACCCGAGATGATCAGGAACGAGTGGGAGCCTCGGTGTGCAGCGGCCGTGCTCTGGGTGCTAATGGGTGAAGTGTGTGTGTGTGTGTGTGTGTGTGTGTGTGTGTGTGTGTGTGTCACATTCTGAGTTGAAAAATTGTTTCTCTGGGCGCCCTTTTCTGCAAAGTCCTCAAGACAGAGCAGCTGATGCCAGCACACAAGGAGGAGAGGAATCTTTCTGATGCACCAGCTTGGATGCAAGAAGCAGAGATGACGGGAGACTCTGGCCGTGCATATCCCAGGGGTTGTAGCTGCAGTCTGTGCACGGATAAGTGTTGGGGGCGTAACGACACTGCTGGCACAATGGAGCTGGGGGTTGGGTGACAAAGAGGACTGGGGACTCAGAAGGAGCACAGGCACCACAGGAATGTGGCTGGAAAGGGATGCGAATGGTGAGGAACTGCATAGATCCTGGAGTACCAGCCCAGGGGGCCAAGCACACAGAGGCCCATTGCCAAGGCAGCCATCAAGTAAACAAGCAGTAACCCGAGTCCCTCCAGGCGGCGCACCATCAGAGGCCCGCCCTCCACGCCGCTCACCCGTGCCCAGTGCACCTAGACCGGGTGCTGCCGGGTCGGGTGCCTCCCTAGGCAAGCCAAGGGACTGCAAGCGAAGGAGACAAGTGGGGCGGCTCCACCCCTCCTCTCTCTGGCTGGGAAGGCGGCCAGAACTGTTCCCACGACTGGGTCGGGTCTGGTCTCAACGGCCTGGTCTGGGGGAGTCTCTCTATACGACATCCACTGCCCCGGAATTCTGCCAAGCCGGGGGCGGGTTGGGAGAACGAGCCTAGGGAGCCTCCGCCCTTCCCTGCTGCTCAGCGTCACGCGTGACGTCCCGGTGATGGATGGGAGGAAAGCAGAGAGCTGTGAGGAAGGCGGGTCTGAGAGCTGCTAGAGACTGAAAACCCCGGAAAGCGTGAGTGCTTGCTGCCTTGGAAATCATCAGAGAGTAGGGGTGAGGGCCTGGGATCTGAGGAGGAGGCTTGCCTTGAAAGGAGCTCTCTGTCTTGTGTGGATTTCGTATTGCAGGGTCTGTTAGGATCTGTAGGTCACAAGGAGGGGGTGGTTGGGTGAGGCTGTGTGTAGGCATATTTCAGATGTCTGCACCTGTGTGTGTGTGTGTGTGTGTGTGTGTGTGTGTGTGTGTGTGAGTGTTGTCTGGCTGGTTGGCTAGTGTATACAGTGTGGGTCTAACCTGTTTGTGTGCCGGGGAGGGTGCGCATGTCTTTGTGTGCGGGTATGTTGAGTCGGGTAGGGGCGTTGTCTACTGTGAGGGAGGAAGTGGACTTGGAGGGGATTAGTCATTCTGCAGGATTTTTGCCTAACGCAGCCAGATGGCTGCTCCTGGCATTCCTTTTTGTGCTGGGTGGAGGGGCATCCGCTTAATCTTGCCTTTTCCTGAGGCGGATGGCTCAGAGAGAGTTGCGTGGATGTCTGTGTCAGCCCTGTTCAACTAAGGACGGGGAGAGTCCTGGGTTTTTGTGCAGGAGTTGAAGCAAATGGGTTTGAAGGGGATTGTGCGTGCTGTCCCATTCGCTAATGGCTGCCCCTTGAGCGTTCTCTCTGAGACCCCTGGAGCGTTCTCTCTGAGATCTAGTACTGATCAGCCCTCAAGTGGCTAATGATCCCGGTCTCCTCCAGTCAGGGCCCTGAGAGTTTGATGGCTTTTGTCGTCTTCCCAAACAGTCTTGGAAGTTTTTTGTTTTTTAATCTAGGTTTTAGAGCAGCTGGGACCTGAAACTGAAGTGGGCTTGGGTGTGTTATCCAGGTTCCTACAGCAGGAGCTCAAGATAGCTGCCCGGATTAGTTGCTGCTGTTGAATCAACCACACAAATGCAAATCCTCACCGTGTAAAATCTGCACCAGGCCAGCCTGAGGAAAGCTATATAGACTCTTAGTTCTGAACTTCCCTCCTCTCCTCAGTGGCTATAGGTCCCTGGCTAAAACACTACCTGGGACACAACTCCTCCCCCACCCTTGCTCACCTATCTAGAGTCACCTTGAGCTCTTTCAAGGACTGGCCATAGTTTCTGGGACCAGGGCAGAGCCACCAAAGTTTCCCCAAGTGCAGTCCTTGGACCTGATCTTTGTTCTTGCTGCCTTGCAGAAGATGGGTGACTTGCCCTTGGATATCAACATCCAGAGACCTCGATGGGACCAAAGCACATTCCTAGGCAGAGCCCGGCATTTCTTCACAGTAACTGACCCTCGCAATCTGCTGCTGTCTGATGACCAGCTGGAAGCTTCCCGAAACATTGTGCAGAATTACAGGTGAGCAGCCTCTAACCAGATGACAGTGACACAGCACTTCAGTTCAAAGGAGTTTAGGACATTGCGCTGAGGAGTCAGCATTGGATTTATGGGTAGGCAGCAGCTCTGCAGTTCACAGATCCCCTTTAATGACCATAGACAGGCAAAACTCTTCTCTTCAGGAGTTAAATCTTGGATGCCCCTAGTCATTTCAGACCCTTTGAAAACCACCCTCACTGTGATCCTGGAGAAAATGTGAGACCAAAAAGTTTGTAGAAAGAGCAAAGTTCATGTCTGAGAGGCTTTGGCCTCCCCCACGGACAAGGAGCTCCTTTACTCTAGGCTTGAGTAGCAAAGTTCCTAGTCCTTTGCCCAGAGTTCCCTGAGGCAAGCGGCAGAGACAGGAAGGGCAGGTCTGACCCCTACAACAGCCTGTTGGTTCCTTGCCAATTCCTCCAGGGCTGGTGTGGCAACCCCAGGGCTCACTGAGGACCAGCTCTGGAGAGCCAAGTATGTGTATGACTCTGCATTCCACCCGGACACAGGGGAAAAGGTGGTCTTGATTGGCCGCATGTCAGCCCAGGTGCCCATGAACATGACCATTACCGGATGCATGCTCACCTTCTACAGGCAAGTCTCGCCCTCGTCCCCTTCCGAGTGCTGTGCTCCAGAACACGGTTGGGTAACCAGCAGTCTCTCTTCCGCTGCCTTTTGGGCAAAGAACAGTGTGTGTGTGTGTGTGTGTGTGTGTGTGTGTGTGTGTGTGAGAATTCTTTCCATTTTTCACAACCCAGCCTTCACTTGTGTAAGCTGAACCAGTGAGGGCGACAAGGGCAAGTTCTGGGACCATCAGTTAAGTCACTCTCGAAGAACTCTTAGGGTTTCAATATTGGGAGTTCGGGGGGCTGGAGAGATGGCTCAGTGGTTAAGAACACTGGCTGCTTTTGCAGAGAACCTGGGTTCAAGTCCCAGCACCCACATGGCAGCTCACAACTTTCTGTAACTCAAGTTCCAGCGAGTCTGACTCCCTCCCACACACATAATTCAATTGTGGGGATTCAAGAATGGGGGAATAGTGTGGATGGACAGAAATGAGTAGTCTATCTTCTCACCCCCCAGGAAGACGCCAACTGTGGTGTTCTGGCAGTGGGTGAACCAGTCCTTCAACGCTATTGTGAATTATTCCAATCGCAGTGGGGATGCTCCCATCACTGTGCGGTGAGACACCCTCCCCAGCTGTTCCTGGTCCCTGTGGACCCCTGTGCCAGGGGCTCAGCTCTCCTTTCAGCTACATGTTCGACCACCACCTGAGGGCATGCTGTCCTTCTGTATATGTTTTGGGGGACCCACTCTGTTTAAAGAAGGAGGAGGGCTTTCACATAAGTTTACGCTGGAGGGGGTGCTTTCAATGAGGTTACCCTCTGACACCTCCTGTATTGGAAATGTGTAATGTCCTTAAAGGAAATGCATGCTGGACTCTTCAGCTCTCCTTGTGATCCGGCCTTTTTTTCCACAGGCAGCTGGGAACAGCCTATGTGAGTGCCACCACTGGGGCTGTGGCCACTGCTCTGGGACTCAAATCTCTCACCAAGGTAAAACCTCCTTACCACTACTGGCCTCTCATCGATCTTTTACCCATTTCCTTCTTCCCTTCTACCCTCTCAGAGCCATTGAACACCACCTTCCCTCCCCAGCACCTGCCCCCACTAGTTGGCCGATTTGTACCCTTTGCAGCTGTGGCCGCTGCCAACTGCATCAACATCCCCCTGATGAGGCAGAGGTGAGTGGCCCCAGCTCCTGACAGAGGGATGTCCAGGTGCTCTCAACTTCTGCAGACCAGCCAGGTACAGGGAGAGTCCTCTCCATCACTGATGTGAGCTGCTGGGCCCTGGCTCATACTGACCCTGAGTGCAAGAATAACCAGGTCCCACTGTGTGAGAACTTGCCCCGAGGTATGGCAAGACTGAAGGGTGTAGGCAGATCCATGACTTCACAGAGGGCTCTTCACTGGGAAATTGCTGATAGGGGCATGGTGTTGGGCAGCTGCAAGACTAGATCCCCACGACTTGAATGAGAAGGAGTGGTGTATATGATAGTCAGGATGAAGGTGACTTCAATAAGCAAAAATTTATCCTGATGGGTCTTATTCTACCATCAAGAAAATCACATTTCTGGCAGTAGTGGAACCAGTATCTTTGATCATAGACCTCAATATCCTTTTCCCTCTCTCTCTCTCTCTCTCTCTCTCTCTCTCTCTCTCTCTCTGAGATAGGATTTCCCTATGCAGTCCTGGAACTTGTGATGTAGACCAGGCTGGCCTTGAACTCACAGAGATCTGTCTGCCTTTGCCTTCCAAGTGCTAGGATTAAATGGTCAGCCCAAACAACATTCTTAATAGTTTTGTTTATGTATACTAATGTGGGATGCTGTGTGGAGAAAGCCTTATCTGGACTACTCAGGGTCATTCTTGGTAGTTATGATCAGGATAGCTATTCCTGTCAGGCTGGATCCCAATACTCTGGGAATTACTCTACACCCAGGCTCCTCTCCAAACTCACCTTCTTCAACCCATGCAGAGTGGCCAGCCTCCCCCTGCTCCCTGGCTGGGCGGGGCTGCACAACACCTGTCTGCTTCTCTCTGGGCTCTACCCTATACCCTGGGGGCTGTTCAGAACCAGACATTGAATGGGGAAGGTAAGGGGCCTCCAGAGATCTGCTGCCAATCATCTCACCAGAGCCTCTTTCTCTTCTCAGGGAGCTGCAGGTGGGCATCCCAGTGACTGACGAGGCAGGTCAGAGGCTTGGCCACTCGGTGACTGCTGCCAAACAGGGAATCTTCCAGGTGGTGATATCGAGAATCGGCATGGCGATTCCTGCCATGGGTGAGATGGGGATGGCTGGTGGAGCTCAGGAGGCTAGGAGAGAAGATGGGCTGAGGTTCTCATGGGTTTTGACAACTCAGCGTCACCAAGTCCGGGAAGAATGGGAGGCAGCGGGAGGGAGGTCTTCCATCAGGTTCGCTAACTGGAGTTCGCTAACTCTCTCATGGCCTGCTCTCCCCTCAGCCATCCCCCCGGTGATCATGAACACTCTGGAGAAGAAAGACTTCCTGAAGGTGAGAAACTCACTTTTTGCCTATTCTGCCCAGAGGCTTCTGCCAAACACAGAAAGGATTGTCACCGCCATGCTTGACTGCACACTCATGATGTCACTCACTGTGCCTCCCAATATGAGACACGCACACACTCTCTCGTGAATGCACAAACAAGATAGGGAAGCGAGGCTCAGGAATACAGGCTCCAGCTCATTCATCGAGTCACTCATTCTCAAATAAGTATTAAGTCCTGACTATACACCAGACATGTTAAACAGAACTAAGATGGTCGTAGACCCTCTCCCTGTGAGGCGTGCAGTCTAGCACAGAAACCAACAAAGAAAGAAAGAAGCAATAGGGCTGGCATGGTGCTGCACGCCTTTAATCCCAGCAGTCTGGAAGCAGAGGCAGATGGATCTCTGTGAGTTTAAGGCCAGCCTGGTCTACATAGCAAGTTCCAGGTCAGGCAGAGCTACACAATGAGACCTTGTCTCAAAAAAACAAAACAATGAAACAAACAAACAAACAAAACCAATAGACAATCTTTGTAGTTACAAAATGTACTTTGTAGCAAACCAGTGGGGATTATAATTGGGACTATCTGGGGAACAATTTAGGCAAGGATAGGCCTTGGAAGATCCAAAGAAGGAGAGTCTGGCAAAGAGTGTTTCAGGTAGAGAGAACAGCCAGTCCCAAGGCTCTGGGGGGGGGGGGGGGGGGGGAGATGGGCCGGCACACTTGAAGAATAGAATAACAGTTGCTGTGGCTGAAATGGATGGAGAAAGGTGTAGAGAGGGACATATTTATGCCACTGGGGATGGCAGGAAATGAGTGGAGACTCAGGAGAGGCTCCCTGGAGAAAGTGAGATAAGAGAAAGCCAGGATCACAGAGTTCCATGGGAACCAATTACAAGAGGTCCTAAGATTGGATAGGTATCTGGTCTGGCTAGGGCAGGAGGTTGCCATCGCCCGTCACTGGCTGGGAGAAACGTCCAGATGTCCAAGGGCTCAGCAGTAGGGTTGATGGGTTAGAACCATGGTGGGGATGGGACACAAACCATTCTCTTGTCTCTCTGTCTCCCCGCAGCGACGCCCCTGGCTAGGAGCGCCCCTGCAGGTGGGACTGGTAGGCTTCTGGTAAGTGTACAAAGGGTTTGATAAGGGCCCATGGGAGAGCCTTTATCATTTTGAGTGTGGAGGGCACTTGTTATCTTTGAGGTACTTCCTTTCAGTTGGTATAGATACTCATAGTGCATAATACATGTGTGTGTGTGTAGAGTCCTAGGGGTTCTTGCTGTTGGAAGGTCAATAGTTTGAGTGAGGGGTTCAGTCTTTATTCACTAGAGGAAACCATGCAAATAAACTCTGGCACAATCCAGGAGGTCCAGCAGATTTTATTCCTTTTTTGTTGTTGTTGTTTAAACATCATTTTTTTACTGAGTTTTACACTTGTATTTTTATATTATTCTTTTATAATTATTTGATATGTACGAATGCACCATGTGAGTGCCTGGGAGTTTACAGATGACTGTCAGCCACCATGTGGGTGCTGGGAATTGAACCTGGGTCCTCCAGAAGAGCAGCCAGTGCTCTTAATTGCTGAGCCATCTCTCCAGCCCTGATTTTATTACTGATTCTGTCACTTTCTAATCATGAGGCTTTGGATCAATGCTCATGAGGCGTTTTCCTCATCCAGAATCTAATATCAGGACCGAGTTTGTCATTCCTGAATGGTCCTTTGGCTCCATTTCCAACCTTTACAGCTGGGATAAAGTTCCCCAAAACTTTTTCACTCCTGGGGCTATTTCTATGGGGTGGGGTACCAAGAGGGAATGCTCAGGCCTGCTTCACAGACGGTTCCCATGCTCTTCTTCCCTAGCCTGGTATTCGCCACACCCCTGTGCTGTGCCCTGTTCCCCCAGAGAAGGTGAGTGATGCCCTTGGACTGGACCAGAATCTTTGCACAAGGTTCCACATTTCAGGCCCTTCGTGTGTGCCTGGGAGGCCTGGTAGGCACACTGGGGGAATGACAGTGAGCCAGCCCTTCTGAAACCAGGAGAGGATTCTGGGAGTGAGGGGAAGCCAGCTCTGGGACTGAGATGCTGAGCCCAGGGTAGATTCATTTAGCCCGTGCTGTTCTGTTGCAGCTCCATACATGTGACCAGGCTGGAGCCGGAGCTGAGAGCTCAAATCCAAGCACAAAACCCCAGCATCGAGGTGGCTTACTACAACAAGGGACTTTGAGGGGAGTCAGCCCCCACCCCTTTCCTTACTCCTCAGGCTGCTTCTTGGGGGAGCCTT